CCAATCTGTTAGCCTGTGCCTTTTTATAGGTGAGTTGAGTCCATTTATATTAAGAGATATTAATGACCAGTGATTGCTATCTCCTGTTAATTTAGTTTCCATTATTAGTGATGTTAATTTGCATGTTTTTCCCTTATGGGGGATTTGCTGCTATGTGGCCATCAGTTGTCTGTGTTTTTGTTGATGTAGCCAACTTCCTTGGTTTGGAGTTTTCCTTCTAGTATTTTGTATAGGGCTGGGTTTGTGGCTGGGTATTGGTTAAATCTGGTTTGTCATGGAATATCTTCTTTTGTCCTTCTATGGTGATTGAAAGTTTTCCTGGGTATAGTAATCTGGGTTGGCATCCATAGTCTCTTAACGTCTGCATAATGTTTAACCACAACTTTCTGGCTTTCATTGTCTCCAATGAAAAGTCAGGTGTAATTTTGATAGGTCTGTATTTATATGTTATTTGGCTTCTTGCCTTTGCAGCTCTTAATATTCTTTCTTTATTCTGTATGTTTAGTGTTTTGATTATTATGTGGTGAGGGGACTTTTTTTTTGATCCAGTCTGTTTGGTGTTCTGCAAACTTCTTGCATCTTCATAGGCATATCTTTCATCCGGTTGGGAAAGTTGTTAAATATATTTTCTGTGCTTTTGAATTGAACTTGTCCTTCTTCTATGCCTATTATTCTTAGGTTTTGGCCTTTTCATGGTGCCCCATATTTCCTGGAGATTTTAGGTTAAGTGTTTGTTAGATTTAATGCTTTCTTTGACTGATGAGTCTATTTTCTCTACTGTATCTTCAGCACTTGAGATTTTCTCTTCCAGCTCTTGTATCTGCTGTATATGCTTGCATTTGTGTTCTTGATCGTGTTCTATAATTCCTTCAGCTTGTGTTTTCTTTATTGTCTCTTTCAGTTTCCATGTCTTGAATAGTTTCTTTCATATGTTTGATTGCTTTTTGTTGGTTTTTCTTTAAGAGATTTTCTGATGTCTTCCAATTTTTTGTCTGTCTTTTCTTCAATTTCTTTGAGGGAATTTCTTATTTCCTCATTAATAGTTTCAAACATTCTTCTGAAGTTATTTTAGGTCCATTTTCTTCTGCTTCATCTATATTTGGTGGTTCAACTCTTGCTGTTGTAGGGTCTTTAGGTTTTACTGATGTTCTTTGTGGTGTTGCGTGTGTTCTTACCTTTTCTACTCATCTTTTCCTCTAATAGGTGTGGTTGGGGCTGTCTGTGATTCTGTTGATTAATCTTCTAGGTGCCAGTGAATCCAAGGCTCAGATGGTTTTTCCTCATGGCACAGTCAGTGCCACGGTTCTAGTTTCCCCATTGTCTCCACTGGCCACTTTGTGTTCCTGGAGGTCACTCATTGCCTCTGGACTTTGCTCCACTCCCTTGGAGTTTGCTGTCTCACACCTCTCTAGCCTAGCTTGTTGGCTCATACTTGTTTCTGCAAAGGTCCTGGTCTGGATTAGTTCCTGCAGAGGCCCTTGGCTTGAGGTTGGTCCTGTAAAGGACTCTGGCTCCAAACTACTCCCGCAGAGTTCCCAGACTTGGGTCTGCCCAGACCCACAGAGGACCTGGCTCAGGCTTACTCTCTCAGAGGTCCCAGACTCATGCTCAGACCCATAGAGGTTTCTGGTTCCTGCCTATTCCCTTTGATATCCCAGACCAAAACTTGGACCCACAGAGGTCCTCGCTCAGGCCTACTCATCTGAGGTCCCAGACTCATACCTGGACCTGCAGAGATCTCTGGTTTCTACCTAATCCCTCAGAGGTCCCAGATTCACACCCAGACCTGAAGAGATCCTGGATCAGGCCTAGTTCCTTGAAGGCCCTAGACTCAGGCCCAGACCCACAGTGGTCCTGGCTTAGGTCTACTCCCTTGAAGGTCCCATATTCACGTCCAGACCCACAGCTGACTCTGGCTCTGGCTCACTCACTCAGTGGTTGCCCCCTGTTCCTGTTCCTGTTCCTGTAGAGTTTGCTGTCTCAGGTCTGCTCTGGCCCAGGTTCCTGGTTCAATTCTGGTCTGCCAATGTCTCTGTACTAGATCTGCTCTTATTCCATGGAGCTTAATTTCTCAGGCCCACTCTAACCTAAGTAGCTGGTTCATTTTTCTTCTGTTTTGCTCACTGCCTCAAGCCTTCTCTGGCCTAGGTTGCTGGCCTGGTCCCGTTTCTGCCAATGACCCTGGTCTGAATTCACTCCTGTTCTCATGGAGTTCACTGTCTGAGGCCTGCTCTGGCCCAGGTCACTGTTTCAGTCCCACTCCTGTGAAATTCTGATTCTCCTCTTAACAGAACCTTTCCACTATGTTTGACTGGCTCTATCTCTACCAGTTTGAAATGGGTTGTTCCTTGAAATTCTGTACAGGCTCACAGTACATGTGGCCAACTCTCCACATGTACTCAATGCATGTGGACTCAATGACTCCAAACAATTCAAAATCAAACACTATCTAAATTACCACTCTACCTGTCACTATGCTGTGTCTATTTCACTGTCATCTGCCCTGGGTAGTGATGCAGGGCTCCTTTATGACTCCTCTCCTTTATTGCTCATATCTGAATTGTTATCAAGCCCCAAACACATTTGCTTATTTATGGCTCCTTTGAACCTACCTTTCTAGTTTGCCATCAGTAGCTGTACTCCTGACCTCCTCAGAAGACTCTTCCCCACAGCCGGAATGATCATTTTTATGTCCTTCAATTTTTCTTGAGACCCAAATGTCATACCATGACAAACATATTCTCTAATTTTATACTGTGCATCACTAAACTTCAAATACATTGTCTTTTTCAACATCTTCGCAGAAACAAGTCATGGTGCCTCAGGAAATTCATATATCACCATGCCTTTGCCTGGAGATAATATCACTGATCTTTCTAACCCCGTTCCACATGCAGATCTCAGTAAAATTCCATCTCTTCTACAACTATAGTGAGCTCCTTAGAATTTCCACTTGACTCTTCTTTTGGCACATAATAAATACTTGAAGAAAAAGAAACTTCCAATGCTACACACACACACACACACACACACACACACACACCTAATAGCAGAAATTATTTCCAAAATATCCAACAAGGAGTGGTGTCCAGATTACTTATGAAATTCTAATATCATAACAGCAAAGACAATAAGTAATTCCATTAGTTATTCATGATATTTGTCTATAATATTTCAAGTAAAAGTTAGGACCACTCTTTTAAGTCATGAACATCTATACACTCAATACTTGTTTCAGACACATAATGTCGCATGGCACACAGTTCATGCAGAAAGCATTTGTACTCATTGAAAAAAAGAAACAAAGCTGAAAATGATAAAAGAAATATTGGTACCCATTAAAAAATGAATTTTGAAATTGGGATGAATAGAGCTACATTACGCATTGGAAGATAATAAAACTAAGGAACTATATACTTAGTCCTAGCAAATGAAAATCGCTGCATTATGAGAAAGAAACAAATATACAGAACTACTCTGACAGACCAGTGCCTCCAAAGTTCTGCTTCTTTAAACCACAGAACAGGGGACATCGCCTTGGGAACCTGGGAGCCCCTCTAGGTCCAAGTCTCTTGCCAACCCTAAGATGGCTCCCTTAATTAAGATATGTGCTTCCCTGCTCCCCTATCCAATCTTCCTTTATCCCAATCATCCCGTTTCCCCAAGTTCCCCCCTTCTCACGTTTCTCTCCCCATCTCCCCTTACCCCCCCTCCCACCCCACCCCCAAGATCCCAATTTTTTGCCCAGCAATCTTGTCTACTTCCCATAACCAGGAGGATAGCTATATGTTTTTCTTTGGGTTCACCTTCTTATTTAGCTTCTTTAGGACATCAGATTATAGACTCAATGACCTTTATTTATGGCTAGAAACCAATTATGAGTGAGTACATCCATGTTCATCTTTTTGGGCCTGGGTTACCTCACTCAGGATAGTGTTTTCTATTTCCATTCATTTGCATGCAAAATTCGAGAAGTCATTGTTTTTTTACCACAGCATAGTACTCTAATGTGTATATATTCCACACTTTCTTCATCCATTCTTCCATTGAAGGACATCTAGGTTGTTTCCAGGTTCTGGCTATTACAAATAATGCTGTTATGAACATAGTTGAACCAATGCTTTTGTCATATGATAGGGCATCTCTTGGGTATATTCCCAAGAGTGGCATTGCTGGGTCCAGGGGTAGGTTGATCCCGAATTTCCTGAGAAACCGAAACACTGATTTCCAAAGTGGTTGCACAAGATTGCATTCCCACCAGCAATGGATGAGAGTACCCCTTCCTCCACAACCTCTCCAGCAAAGGATATCATAAGTGATTTTGATTTTAGCCATTCTGACAGGTGTAAGATGATATCTCAAAGTTGTTTTGATTTGCATTTCCCTGATCGCTAATGAGGTTGAGCATGACCTTAAGTGTCTTCAGACTGGAGAGGGAGGGGGAGAGGAGTGGGAGGAGGGGGAGGGAAATGGGAGGCTGGGAGGAGGCGGAATTTTTTTTCAATAAAAAAATAAAAGATAAATAAAATATGAAAAAACACAGAACATTGAAATCTATTCAATCACTAATAAGGAAAAAACTGAAAAACTAATACCCATATGAAAGCTAATAGAACGTTGCTTTGGTCAATTCTATACTTTTAAGTGTATGTAAATTACACTAATACTGAAGCTATAGTCCAAGAACAGCATAAGTTACAAACTTGACATGTAAATCCACAAAATGCCAACTTTCAACATCCTGGAATATTGGTATTCACACAATCTGAAATTGATCCACAGCTAAAGATAACTTTACGTGGCAATTCTGTGCAGATTGATATATGTGTACTCATGTAAACAAGCAGAAGCAAAAGTCAATGCTATACTTTGCTGTGTGTAGCCTGGTTACTAACTAGTGTGTTGGTTTCTCAACTCACAACTGAGCCTTGAATGGCAGTTTGAAATCCTCTAGGCAGGAAGTTGAATGGCACAGCAAACTGTAATAAATACATACATACTTTGATTGTTTCAGAACCCAACATTTTCTGTGAGAGCCGTGAAGGAGAGTCAGAAGAATGCTGGAAAAGAAAAGAAGAAAAGGAAAAGAAAGAACAAGCCTATGAGGCATCATGGCAAGACAGAAGGAAGTGAAGAAAAGCAAAGCAAAGGTTTGAATAGCACATTCTACTCTACAGCATTACCATAGACAAGGAGTCCTTCAAGACCTTATCAATGGTAGCACAGAGCTCTTCTGTTTGCTGCCTGAGCTGTGCAGGGAAATACAACTGGAAGAATTGAAACCAGGAACGGGGTTAGCATTGAGTTTGGCCATTGCACACCAAAGCAGGGCAAGCTGAAGTCATTACCTCCACTGGAAGGTCTGACACGCTGGCCTTGGAGTTGCTTTCAGTCCTGGCTGGTTCATCTAGTGCCTAGTGATAAATGAAACAGTTCTCATATGAAGTTTCTCATTGAATACAATGCAGTGGTGATGTCCTCACAAAGAAGCCCTGTATATGTTTCATCATTTCTAAGGAAAAACAACTAATAAAATCATTTGGTAAACTATTCTTGAACATGAATATACATTTTACATTGTCCAGTTTCTCCCCTGAAATCAGTGTCTCTAATATAAGGTGTAGTAATGATAAAGGCTGGAGGCTGTTTTATTTTTCTTTTACATCTGTTCTATATTTTCCATTTTGCTTTTACTCAATTTTTAAATTTTAACTGATTGAATGTGCCTTCTTTCTTATTCATCTTAACAACAGCTTGAATCCATGTAAGGTAATTGCAACATCTGCAAAGCCTTGGAGTTTTTGCTATGAATTTATGTTTTCCTTTTGAATATGGATGGCATTATTCTGGGTCTTTGAATGCCTAAAAATTATGAGCTAACAGCAATGTTATATGTAAAAGGGACTCACAATTCTGCTTTGATTCCATAAACACTATTTTCATTTAGTTTTAAACATTTTAACATTGTATTTGTTTATTTAGTGTATGCCGTGATGCATGTGTGGCAGTCGAAGGACTAATTCTCTCCTACCATGGGTGTTCCAATGAGAGCTAACTCTCACACAAGGTGATGGTCTTGGTAGCAGCCACTTTTGCTTCCTGAGTCATCTATTAGCCATTCATTTAGTTGGTGGCTTTGAACTCTGTCTCCCTGATACTGAGTAGCAGCCAAAGCCTCTACTTAGCTATTGTGTACTATGTTTGGTATAAGTGATACCCAGAGTTTATGGAACAGCACTTGGGGCTCTCCTTTGTGAAGGCTTCCAGCATCGCCCTCTCCCCTTGAATACCAGTCTCTGTGTGACTTCATGTACTTTTCTCTGATTTTTGTTATCAACAAGGTTTTAGCTTTTGTTAAGTTTAAACTATTTCATAGTGAGTTAATAGTGGTCAGACTTGAAAGAAAATGAATAAAAACCTAGAAGCCAACCAAACATAATTTTCTTCTCCTGAGTATTGACTCAACTGTAATTCTTACCTACTATTCTAGTATCTTCACACCATCCTCTTTGGTTTTTTTTTTTTTTGTGATGTATGAGGACTCTGTATTTTAGAATGACTTCAGATTTGCTATGTAGCCAAAGATGATTTTGAACTCCTGATCTTTCTGCTTTTACTCCCCAAGTGCTAGAATTAGAGACATAGGCCACCATGTTGCCCAGTTTATCTGCCGCTAGAGATTGAAGCCAGGGCTTTGTGCAAGCTAGGCAAGTACTATATCAATTAAGCTATATCTACAGCAAGAAGCATCTTTTTAGTATTTCATCCTGAGTCTATTTATAATCTATAAGACATCTGCACCAGTATAGGCTAACCCCTCCATTTTCAGAAGCAGTGAGAAAAATGAAATTTATATTTTGAGCTCACTGATTTCTTAACATGGAGATATTGTGAATTCAAATTTCAAACTCCCTTTAAAATCACATTCTGGTTAAAGGCTATTTTTCCTGCCCTAAGCAAATATCATTGTCATTTCCCTTTACAAATAATTTTTTCTCATCCTGTAGCACGAATTCTAATTGTTCTTAATAATAAAAACCCAGAATCCGCTCAGGGGGTAAAAGCTGAGAGATGAGAGAAGGAGAGCAGCCAGTCACTAGAGAGACCTTTTATTTCTATCGATGTTCAGACCAAGAGATAATCCTGTCCTCAGACTATCCTCAGACTGCAACTGTCTCCACCAAACCTTAGACTGCACTGAGCTCCTGTCTCCTTCTGCCTTATATTCTTCTCTCTACCCAGCCATATGGCTCCTGTCTCCACCTCCCTGGTGCTGGGATTAAAGGCTTGGGATCCCAAGTGCTGGGATCACTTTTGTGTGAGATCTGTTTCTCTTTTAGACAGATTCGATCTTGTGTAGCCCAGGATGGTTTTAGACTAGCAGAGATCCCTCTGCCTCTGTCTCCCATGTCTTGGGGTTAAAGGTGTGTGTCACTGCTCCCTGGCTTCTAGTGGCTTAGCTCTTCACTCTGATCTTCAGGCAAACTTTATATGTTAAAATTTAAACAAAATATCAGTACATCATCCATCATCTTGTACTAGAAAATATAGTATTTAAAAATTCTTAGCTTTGTAGCAGTGGTTCACTTTCTGTTTCTGCCTTTCCCAGCCCAGTCTTTCCCTGCTCTTGCCTGCTTGACAGTCTTTATGGTGAGTCAGTTCAACACCTTCAACACAACATCAGAATCCAAATAAACAGTGTTTGACAGCTTGAAGATGCCTCTTATATTTTTGTTATAAATTTTTTTTCCTGGGTTGAAGCACATGGAAATATCAGTATTCAGTTGAAAATTGCCTAGGAAGATCACAATTTCACACAGGTGAACCTGTTTCTATATAATTTATTGCTTCTTTAAACTTTTTATATAATTTTTTATCATGTTCACTCTACGTCCTCGAACGAATATCCCTTTTCTAAACTCAACCAACTTTTTGTCATTTTTTTCTATCAATGTCCATTTACTCTGCCCAAATATACATGGATGTGTGACCTTCCACTAGAGCATGGTCATAGTCAACTTACTAGGAGCTACACCATCAGAAAAATATATTGATCCTTTCTCTCAAAGCAGCTGATAATTATCAACAGCTCATCAGCTAGCAGTGGGACTCTGTGCACAGCTCCCCTTTCTATGCAAAGAATTGGTCTGCTTATGATTCTGCAGGTTTTGCTCAAGCTGTCACTACTGCTATGAGGTCATATGTACATATATACTGCTATTTCCAGAAGAAAATGCTTCTGGCTTCTACATTCTTCCATACCCTCTTTTACAATGATGTCTGAGTCTTATAAGGAAAGAAGAAAGGAAGGAAGGAAGGAAGGAAGGAAGGAAGGAAGGAAGGAAGGAAGGAAGGAAGGGAGAGAGGGAGGGATGGAGAACAGAAGGGAGGGGAGGCGAAAGGCAGGGAGGGAGGAAGGAAAGAGCATATGTCCCTTTTAAGACTGTACATTCTGAATTCTCTTATTCTCTACACCTTGGCCATCTATTGAAAATAGAAATTTCTCTGATGAGGGTTTAGAGACCCATTAATTTATACTGATAAATCATTAGGAATTGACTTAATACTATGTCTATCTAGCCCAATAATAGTAATAAGTTCTCTTCTATGATCTATGATTTCTCTAGCCTAAAGTTCTTGACCCAGTAATAGTATCAGATATGGGTCTCATGTTGTGGAGCAAGTCTTAAATCCAACTAGAAAGTGGTTGGTTATTCCTATGACATTTGTGCCACTATTGTACTATGAGCATAATTTATCTGGCCAGTCATCATTGTATCTCACAAGGTCCACAGTTGGCTAAGACTGATGATTACTTTTCACTTCCATTGATATGCATAGCACCTTTCAGAACTATGAATGTTGTCCAGCAGGAATGAAGCTCCTATATTAGTAAAAGCTTAATTTCTTTATGCTCTAGTGTGTGATGCCTTCAGCAACAGGATCATATCTTCATATCTTCAAGCACTAGAGAGTAATCAACAGCACAGGCAATAGCCCTTAAGGTTTGGAAGTCTTTGGAACCTCAATGACCAAGACTTCTATTGTTTTCATATTTTGTTAGCCTATGCTGTCTGTAGCAGTACTGTTGCCCTGATAAAGAGATTTGATTCCATTTTAATTCTTTTATGGATGTATACAGAAGCCTCCGCAGGAAGTTTTCAAATAACTTGTTTATAAAGTTGTTAGTATTATTTCTGTGTCTCAGAATTCTCTCCTCTACTTTTTCCTTTCTTCTCCTTTAAAATTTCCTATGTCATAATCTCCTTTAACCCTTTATACCTATTCATCTTCCAAATTTTTATCACTGACTCTACAGTTTTTGCTACAGGGAATTTTTCAAGATATCTAGTCCTAATCCACTTTCAAAGCTTGACAATTTATTATCATTAAAGTCATTTAAAAATATGTGGAATGAGTTTGAAGGCAATTATAAAAGGTTATAAAATATAATTAGCAAAGTAATTAGACCTTTAGATGTCTGATCTCTTTAGGCAGTATCTTTCAACAGAAAAATGATCACTTGCACCTATATGTGTCATGGTAGGTTTATAAACAGACAAAAAAGACAGTTCTCTACTGGAATGGATTGTAGAATATTTAGATAAAAAGCTACCCTGTCTCCTCATCTGCATTCACTTCCCAGTCCTTACATCTTCACTGTTATCCTGATGCTCTCATATCCTGACTCCAACGTTTCTCATCAGTCATGGAACCACAGTACTCACTGTTCATCAGAACCTTGTTTGTTTGTTTGTTTGTTTTTAACAGATTAAGGGATTACACAGATCTGAAACTATTAATCTTCACTAGTAGGTACCATATCTGGTAGAATTAGGATAGGATTTGAGCATGGAACATACTAAGAGTTCAGACAAATAGTCATGAAAGATAAATTTCATCATTTCTTAATTTAATAAGTTACTTTTAAATTTTGAGATTCTAGTATAATTAGAATCTTCCCTTTGCTTCCTTTAAACCCTCCCAACACCTATCTTTGTTCTGTTTCAAACTCAAGTTGTTACATGCATATATGTATATACATATTTGCTTCTAAATACAACCTTCCCAGTCTTCTCATGTTACTTGTCTATGTGTTTTCAGGGCTGACCATTTGGTATTGGATAACTAGTTGCTTGCTCTTCCTTGGAGAAGATTGTTCCTCCCCCTCTCAGCAATCCTTCCATAGGAATTGTCTGAAAACTTTTGTTTTCCAACTTTGCTTCTCTGTATCGCCAAGCAAAATTTGGAAAACTAATTATGGCAAGAGTCGCCTTTACAGTAATTATTCTTTTTCTTTTTTTCCTAAAATTATGATTAGTCATGAGAAATAGTGAGGTGGGAACAGAGATTTTTATTAAAAGTTAACTCAGTTTAATTTCCCCAACATGGTGTTTCCCATCAGCTAGTCACC